TTCTGGGGAGTTCAAGATGCTTCTCTGTCTAACGTTCATTGATTTAAAGAAGGTCTTTGATTCTGTTGAGACTGAAGCGGTCATTGAAGCCCTAGCCAATCAGGGAACTCATACTCAATAAATCAGGATACTCCGTGGTCTGTATTACAGATTCACTACCAGGATCTCACCATTCTACAAAGAAGTGATCATCCATGTTAAGAGAGGGGTTCAGCATAGTGATACCATTTCACCGAAACTCTTCAGTGCCACCCTTGAGAATGTCATGCGACGACTGGAATGGGATGAAATGGGAGTGAAGATAGACGGTCGACAACTACACCACCTCTGCTTTGCTGATGACATCATTCTAATAACACCAAACATTAGCCAAGCGGCACAAATGCTGGCTGATTTTGACCGTGAGTGTGGAAATATCAGACTCCATCTGAATCTCATGAAGACAATGTTTATGAGAAACAGTCTCATTCCTGACGTTCCATTCGCTCTCAACAGAACGACCATCTCCAAATGCAACAGTTATGTGTACCTAGGTCGAGAAGTTAATATGACAAATAACCTGGCACCTGAGTTGCACAGGAGGAAGAGAGCAGCTTGGATCGCCTTCAAGATCATTGAAAAAATAGCTAAAAGAATGAAGAACTTCAGGCTCCGGGCACATCTCTTCGATTCCACTGTTCTTCCTGCATATATGCCTCAGAGAACTGGGCCCTACGAAAACAGGATGAGAACTATATTCGGGTCTCCCGTAGAGGAATTGAAAGAGCTATGCTTGGAGTATCACATTTTACTCAAATGAGAGAAAGAATTTGGAGTTCAGACCTCTGTTGAAGGTCAATAATCGGGATGCTGTCTCCTTTGCCAAGGTGTCAAATATCAGATCGCCTGGACATGTAATGAGATTTGGAGAAGACCACTGAACTAGAGCCGTTACCAACTTGATTTTATGGGATGTCAAAAGACTGCATGGCCGCCCACCTACAAGATGGTCAGACTTCTTCGTCAATACCCTGAATGATTGGTTTGAGGCTCTTCGTGTTCCTAGCACGAACAGATGCCATTGGGCTACACTAGCACACAACAGGGACGAATGGAGAAGTTACCGGAGCCCTCTCAAGCAAATCGATGTGTAACGGGAAGTCAAGTGATCAAGACTTTTAAATATGAGAAAACTTCTCTTTGTATTCTGATTTAATACATAATTTATCATTAATTATATATTCTAAATTATATTTAACCTTGTGATTAATTTGCATAGCTATGCATGAATATATGTCATGCACAAACATGCATAGGCTCATTCTACAGATTTTCATTCAAATTATATTAATATTAATTAAAACAACCAATACCCAACTCAATAATCATTTATTTTTATTATAGTTTAGGAAAGGTGGTTGCAATAGTGTAAAGGTAATGGCGTTGATATACAAAGTTATAGTGCCTACTATCATCAAAGGGCCCAAGATCTTCTACCACTGTCTTTATGACACCTATTTTTGAATTTTATGCTCTCAATCCTTTTTGACATACCATGGCAGGGTGATACCATTTCACCGAAACTCTTCAGTGCCACCCTCGAGAACATCATGCGAAGACTGGAATGGGAAGGAATGGGAGTGAAGATAGATGGTCAGCAACGACACCACCTCCGCTTTGCTGATGACATTGTTTAAATAACACCAAACATCAGCCAAGCGGCAGAAATGCTGGCCGACTTTGACCGTGAGTGTGGAAAGGTAGGACTATAGCTGAATCTTACGAAGACAATGTTCATGAGAAACAGCCTCGTTCCTGATGCCCCATTCGCTCTCAATGGAACGACCATCTCCGAATGCAACAGCTATGTGTACCTAGGTCGAGAAGTCAACATGACAAATGACCTGGCACCCGAGCTGGGCAGGAGGAAGAGAGCGGCTTGGAACGCCTTCAAGAACGTCAAAGAAATAGCTAAGAGGATGAAGAACCTCCGGCTCTGGGCACATCTCTTTGATTCCACTGTTCTTCCTGCATTAACCTATGCCTCAGAGACCTGGGCCCTATGCAAACAGGATGAGAATGCTATTCAGGTCTCCCAAAGAAGAATAGAATGAGCTATGCTTGGAATATCACGTTTCACTCAAATGAGAGAAAGAATCCGGAGTTTCCACATCCGTCGACGATCAAGAATCAGGGACGCTGTCTCGTTTGCCAAGGTGTCAAAAATCAGATGGGCTGGTCACGTAATGAGATTTAAAGACGACCGCTGGACTAGAGCTGTTACTGACTGGATTCCATGGGATGTCAAAAGACCGCGTGGCTGCCCACATACCAGATGGTCAGACTTCTTCATCAAGATCATGAACGATCGGTTTGAGGCTCTTCATGTTCTCAGAGCGAACAGATGCCATTGGGCTACACTAGCACACGACAGGGACAAATGGAGACGTTACTGGCGCCCGCTCAAGCAAATCGACTAACGGGAAGTTAAGTGATTAAGTGATTTAGTGAATCCCTTTTCTTTTTCCAAGAATTTTTTTCAACTATTTGTGGGGGCTTATTTTTCTATATGGATTTCAGGATTGTTTGCTCCATTTATTTGAAGAATATCATGGGTATCATTATAGGGATCACATTGAATGTGTACGCGGATGGTGAGAAAGGGAACCTCCTCCACTGCTGGTGGGAATGCCGATTGGTTCAGTCCTTTTGGAAAACAGTATGGACGATTCTAAAAAAATTAGAAATTGAGCTCCCATTTGACCCAGCAATACCACTCCTGGGAATATATCCCAGAGAGGCAAAAAAGTATAGTCGAAGTGACATCTGTACTTGTTTGTTCATTGCAGCACTGTTTACAATAGCCAGAATCTGGAAAAAAACCTGAGTGCCTGAGAACAGGTGACTGGTTAAAGATACTTTGGTACATCTACACAATAGAATACTATGTAGCTTTTAGAAAAAGTGAAGCCATGAAATTTACATACAAGTGGTACTACATGGAAAGCATTGTGCTAAGCGAAATGAGTCAGAAAGAGAGGGACAGACATAGAAAGATTGCATTCATCTGGGGAACATAAACTAACAAAATAGGAGACTAACTCCCAAGAATAGTTAAGTCCCAGGAGGTTCACTCCATGACTTGGAGGCTAGCCGCACATGCTAGCCGAAAAGGCAGCTCAGAGAGAGAAGGGAGGCCCAAATAAAGGGTGTTGGGAGGATCCTCCCAGGATGGGAGATGCATGCTGAAAGTAGACTATAGACCAAACATGATATCCACTCAATGCCTCTTTTGCAAACCACAGCACCCAAAAGGAGAGAGAGAGAACCAAAGGGAATTCCCTGCCACAGAGGCAGGGTGGGATGGGGGAAAAGGAAGAGGGAGGGATACTGGGATCAGTGGTGGTTGAAAATGGGCACAGGTGGAGTGATGGGTACTCGAACATTGTATAATTGAAACCGCGGCATGAAAATTTTTAAGTCTACCACTGTACCTCATGGTGCTTCACTAATAAAATTTTTTTAAAAAAGACATAACTAGTTAAGAGTGTTGCAGTAGATGCAGGCTATAATTAGTTTACTTTATGTGTTCTTATCTCCTGTTATTTTTCTCAGGGGCTGGAGCGGTAGCACAGCAGGTAGGGCGTTTGCCTTGCACGCAGCCAACATGGCCGACCCGAGTTCGATTCCTCCGCCCCTCTCGAAGAGCCCAGCAAGCTACCGAGATTATCTTGCCCACGCAGCAAAGCCTGGCAAGCTACCCGTGAGGTATTAGATATGCCGAACACAGTAACAACAAGTCTCACGATGGAGACGTTACTGGGCCTGCTCGAGCAAATCGATGAACAATGGGAGGACAGTGACAGTGACAGTGACAGTGATTTTTCTCAAAGCAGTTGTTGAGAGAACACTTTCTTGTTTTCTTACTAATGATAAAATTTCTATCAAATGTTAAGTAACACCTTTCGGGTTTGATTTGCATTTCCGATAATTAGTGATGTTAGCTCTGTGGGGGTAGGCTCTGCTTTGTGGTCTGGAAGCCTACTCCTGGAGAAAGTCGAACTAAAGTTTAGGTTCACCTGGACCACCTTAGTTCTAAGGAGGACTGGAGACTTGGTACCACTGAATTGACACGCTACTCAGATGAACCAGGGGCTTGGGTTCACAGGGATTGGTGTGGAACCTGGAGTCACAGAAGTAAACTGGTGCTACAAAAGCATGCCTGATACTCTTGTATGGCCCGTGCTGGGCTGAGATCCATGCTGAAGTTTAGGTGGTCAATTCACTTTACTCCTCTAAGAAAAAGGTGTATTTCTTCATGCTGGGCTGCCTAGGCTTGGGGAAGAGGTGACAGAATAATGTAAAACAATCTTCCTCCTGTGCTTCAATGTATCTTTTTTGTTTCTGGGTTTCATCAAGGTACTACCAACCCTCAGAAAAAAATATATATATACATATTTATAATTTTTACTTTTATATCACCAAATTGTTGTCTAAACAAGAAATAACACTTGAAACTTATACACGCATATATATTCTTATCTCTAAATCATGAAATGGAGCAATCAGTTCATTCAAAAGTGATTTTACTGAGTTAATGGAGTACATTTAAGATATTAAATTTATTAGCTTTAGAAACACATCATAGGACTCTGTTAAATCCTCCATATTTGATGCTGTTACTAGGATCCTGAAGCTTGTGATTTAATGGTCTCAATAATCTTATCATTCTTATCAGCAGACATAGATGGAAGTAGTTCTAGCATTTTCTTGGTTCAGATGTACTCAAAGTAGAACAAGATGTAATATTTTAATGATATATTTGCAATAGCCTGTGTAAAGGCATCTCCTTTTGAGTTGACTTCTAAACGATGTTTATTACTCTGAAGCAGTGTATCATTTAAAGTGTTTCTTTCCGCAACTCCATATAAACAACTAAAATTTCTGAATATACAATTTTGTCTCTGTTTGGTAGCCAAATTAGGAATTGTTAGAAATTTAAAAATTTACACCAATTTTACTTAATTCTCAGTGAAACGGCAGGAATGCTCCCTAAATTCGTTTATACTATTGAAACTTCTTCCACAAATGGGACATAGGAATTTCCAAGAATTATTGGTGCTAATAATGAGAACTCTCACGTTGTGGGGAGATCGGAACTGATCCTCAAAAACTTTTCCAGTAAGTACTTGTTGAACTTGGACCCATGGAACATACAACACGGGCCTCACAAAAATGGATATTTCTTTCTTCCCTTTAGTATAGGATGATCTACAACCTTTTCTCCTGACCATTCTTTCAAGAAACGGATGACTGTATGTCACCCTAAAAGGTCTACCAAATATTATGGCTCTTTCAATATTGTTAGGGAAATAAAACTGAGGAACAACTGCCACGTATTTTTGCTTCAAACGTGTTGCATTTTGACAACCAACACACTGATGAAAATATCTCCCACAGAACAGATGCAGAATCATTTTTCTTATCTCATGGTTCTTGAAGAATGGAATTTTCCATGGAATTGAAAATTGTTCGGGGCTTTCATAATTAGTGAGGTTGTGAAAGAAATTTCTTACTTTCATCTCCACTTTTGCTAAATAATCTCTTCCTCTTTTAATCGACGGTTTTTTTGTACTATTGTTTCCTACCTGAATGTTCTCAAAATTAGTTTTCCCTAGTTCAGACATAATATTGGCCCATTTTCTTGGAATGGAGACCTGAATTAGGTCAGATTCTTCTTCTCTTAAATCTTCTTCTTGAACATCCTTAGGGGTATCAACCTCACCATTTTCTGCAACTTTAGGAGCATCTTGTTCTTGGGAGTTTGCTGTGCCTGGCTCCCTTGTCAAATGATCAGATTCCACCTGAGAGATTATATTATGGCTACGAAATGAAGACTCTGTATCTTTGGTACAGTCAGTGAAAGCCTCATTTTCTGAATTTGTAAGAGCTTTGTCATCTGAGTCACTCTCTTTCTTGTTAGGAGAACTCATCCTTGGTTCTATTCAAAAGGGCAAAAGAGATAAATATCTGTTAAACTGAGAAATAGCACACTTTATTATAAGTTTGCTTTTACTCAAAGAAAGATCAGACAAGGCAAATTCTGAGCCTTCTCACACCTACAATAATGTGTTAGTCACTGATAAACAAGGTGAAACAAATATTCCAAGGAAAGCATGACTTACCGCATAGGTATTCTTATTGAGTTCTGCTTCAAGTATACATTTATAATAAAATTATTTCTCTGCTAGTCTTTATAAAGTATATTTCCCAAATGGGCTGGAGCGATAGCACAGCACGTAGGCCGTTTTCCTTGCACGCGGCTGACCCGGGTTCAATTACTCCATCCCTCTCAGAGAGCCCAGCAAGATACTGAGAGTATCCCTCCTGTATGGCAGAGACTGGCAAGTTCCCCATGGAATATTCAATATGCCAAAAACAGTAACAACAAGTCACACAATGGAGACATTACTGGTTCCTGCTTAAGCAAATCGGGAGGACAATGGGAGGACAGTGCTACAGTGTTATTTCCCATATATAGAGTGCATGTAGCGTTCTTGTTTGATGTCCAATTATTGTTCCTTTCAAGGTAGTGAATGAAATAAAATTTCATTTCAAAAATGAAGTCCAACTTGTTGGTCTGTGTATTTAAAATGAGGCTAATATAAAGGCAGTTTTTTCATGATTACATAAGTTTAAAAGATTTTATGATGTATGTGAAAATAAAATGTTTGTAAGTGAATAAGTAGAAAGCTATTATTTTCTAGAATATTTTCTGTGCTATCACTTTTCCTCTTCTTTTAAAATAGTATCCATACAAAAGAGCAAATCAATTTTGTGAGAGGGTAGAGCATGAAGAGAGTAAGAAACCAAAAAGTAAAATCTTAAAACTGAGTTTTCTGTTAATATATCTTTCAAATTACTCATTTTTTATTTCCTTAGTACAATTCGGTTGAGAAATGCTTCCTATACCACTGATAGTAGTCAACTAAAGATTCATAACCCATCACACACTACTATGCATAATCAAGTTAGAAGGAAAGGGATTGATACAGATTGATGTCTCTCAAAAACAGAACATAAAGATACGCAGCAAGGTAGCAACAATGGTTCAAAGGGAATGCAAAGGAAAAATTATCAGCACAACTTATTTGAGGAAGGTGCTAAAAAGAGAATAAATTTGGGTTGTTGGAGGAGAAAGGAGGATACACTTATGATAGGTGGTGAGTTGAAATTATATTAATTGGAAACCATCAAAAACGACATTGTAAATCAAGGTACGTCCTGGAGAAGTAATGCTCACCCTCTTCTACCCTCCCCTCAACACACATACAGCTTGAACTGGGACACACACTCTGCCTCCTGCCTGCAGACTTCAGCTCCAAAGTGCATCCAACCATGTTACCCCTAGACTATTCCTTCAGACATGTCCTAGATGACCCCACCTTTAGACGCTAGCAATTAGAAGTGGCCTCAGTGGACACACTGATGACCAAAACTAGCTGGATTCTAACTCTCCCCTTTTAACTTACAAACTCCTAAGCTTTGGGGTAATGAAAGATAAACAATTCTGTCCCATAATACTTCCAACCCTGGTATATATAGTAGTTAGACTTATACTTGGCTTTCCTCTGAAATGCCATCTGAATGACACTGGAATAGTTAAGATAACATATTCCAAACAGACATAAAGAAGTGATTTCTGGATCTTAAGGCTGTAATTTAACACTAAGAAATAAGAAATAACCAGGAATTTTACTCCATGGCTTGGAGGTCAGCAGCACATGCTAGGGGAAAAGGCAGCTCAGATAGAGAAGGGAGACCCAAATAAAGGGTGTTGGGAGGATCCTCCCAGGATGGGAGATGCGTGCTGAGAGTAGACTTTAGACCAAACATGATTTCCACTCAATGCTTCTTTTGCAAACCACAGCGCCGAAAAGGAGAAAGAGAACAAAGGGTAATGCCCTGCTACAGAAGCAGGGTGGGCTGGGGGGTACAGGGGGTGGGAGTGATACTGGGATCAGTGGTGGTGGAGAATAGGCACTGGTGGAGTGATGGGTATTTGATAATTATATAACTGAAACCCAAGCACCAAAATTTGTAAATCTACAATTGTATCTTATGGTGCTTCACTAATAAAAATCTAAAAATAATTGAAAAAACAGAAGTTAATATCTTCTACAAAGCTATCATTACACTAGTACCCAAAGCAGATAGAGACAGTTCTAAAAAGGAAAATTTCCTATCAATATCCCTGATGAAGGGCTGGAGTGATAGCACAGTGGTAGGGCATTTGCCTTGAACACAGTTAGCCTGGCCAAGCTGGGTCTGATTCCTCCGTCCCTCTCAGAGAGCCCACCAAGCTACTAAGAGTAGCATGCCCACATGGCAAAGCCTGGCAAGCTACCCGTGACGTATCCAATATGCCAAATACAGTAACAAGAAGTCTCACAATGGAGATGTTACTGGGCCCACTCGAGCAAATCGATGAACAACGGGAGGACAGTTACAGTGACAATGATCCCTGATGAACACTGATGCAAAAATTCTCAATAAAAGTTTGCAAGCAGGGGCTGGAGTGATAGCACAGTAGGTAGGGCTTTTGCTTTGCATGCGGCCAACCCGGGTTCAATTTCTGGCATCCCTCATGGTCTCGAGCACCAACAGAAGTAATTTCTGAATGCAGAGCCAGGGGAAACCACTGTGCATCTCCAGCTGTGACCCAAAAATAAAATAAAATAAGATTTTGCAAACAGAATCCAACAACGTATCAAAATATTCATACATCACAATTAATTGGAATTCATCCCATGGATGAAAGTATGGTTTGACATGTGCAAATCAATTGGCATAATACACCACAGCAGTATAAATCTTTTGATATGTAGATAAATCTTTTGACAAGATCCAATATCCATTTACAATAAAAGCTCTCAACAAAATAGGGGTAAGAAAAACTTTCCTCACAATGGTAAATGTTATCTATAAAAAGCCCACAATAACTCTCCTAGCATTTTGGACTCACAGCTCAGTCACATTTATCTAATTCTGAAGGGGACATCCTGGCTATCCCAATCACATTAGGCCAATAGTCCACTAGCTTATTCTAATTAAAATACTACCCCCCAAAGACCAAAATAACAATGAACACAAAGTATTGAACAGTACCAATGAAAAAAAACACATCTCCTGAAGCCACACTAGTGATCCTACGTAGGGCACAGAGGAGAAACGAAGAGGTAGTATTCGTAAAGGGGAAAAAAGAGACCACCATCTACAAAGCCCAGCTAGAATCCTCCCTTGCAGGTAGAGGTGGCTAGTGATAATGAACTGAAGGGACCCACCTCCATACTACCACAGCAACATGAAGAAATTGCATACCCCCCCTAACGCACGCACAAGGAATGGATGAAGAAAAGAAGCCTCATCAGGAAATTCCCACAAATATAATCTCTCAGACAAAGAATTCAGAGATAAATTGTTAGGATGTTCATCGAACTCAAAGAAACGGTGAAACAAACATCCAGTAAATTAAAAGAGGACATAAGAGTAACAGTGGAACGGACAGCCAACAAATTACAGGAATAAATGAGAGAAGAAATAAAAAATACAAACAGAAGTGTCACGAATAAAGAATTTGGTAGATAAAATAAAAAAACTCAGTGGGTGCCCTCAGAAGTAGAATGGTTACAGCAGAAGATAGAATCAGTGAGCTTGACGATGAGCTGCAGGAAGTTTACAGGCAACAACAAACAATGGAAGAAGAACTCAAAAGAGCTCTAGGGTGAATCAGAAACCTAGGGGATGACTCCAAGAGGAACAAGATAAGATCCATCGGAGTACCAAAAGGACAGGGATGCAACCCCAATGAAAAAAACCACAGTTAAAGAAATTATTGCTGAAAAGTTTCCAGAGCTGGAGAATACAGACATCCAAGTCCTAGGAGCCTGAAGGATGCCAGATAAAAGATACCCTAATGAAAAGACTCAAAACATATCATATTCAGAATGATGGATGCCATGGATAGAGACATAATACTGCAAGCATCAAGGTCAAAGAGGGAAATCACATACAAAGGAGCACCCATTAGATTTACAGCAGACCTATCAGAGGACACCCTCCAAGCCTGAAGACAACGATGGGATATAATTTTTAAAAACCCAATGAAATGAACCCTTCACCAAGAATATTTTATCCGGCTAAACTCCTACTCAGAATCGAAGGAATGATACACTATTTTATGGATAAACAACAGCTCAGGAACTTCATAGACTCAAAACCAAACTTAAACGAAGGACATAAGGGGTTACTGTAAGGCAAGAAAACCCCCTACAATCACAGTGAACCCCTACAGACAGATGACACAAAACCCTATAATAATAATCACTCAATATCAATGGTCTAAATGCACCAATTAGGAGACACAAAATGGCAAAATGGATTCATAAACTGAACACAACATTCTGCTACCTACAAGAACCACATCTGAACAATCAGAGCAAACACAGACTCAAAGTCAAAGGATGGAAAACAATCCTGCAAGCAAACAGCTCCCTCAAAAAAGTCAGGTTGGACTTACTAAATTCCAACAACATAGATTTCAGGTTATAAAAGATTAGGAGGGACAACGAAGGCCATTTTCTATTTATCAAGGGATACGTAAAATAGGAAGAAATCACCTTCTTAAATGTATACGCATTGAATGAAGGCCCAGCTAAATACTTAAAACAACTGCTAATAGATTTTAAGGAAGAATTGCCAACAACACAATTGTAGTTGGATACCTCAATACCGCCTTTACAACACTGGATAGATCAACAAGAATAAAACTTAGCAAGGAAACTCTGATTTTGAAGGAAGAAATATGAGAGAGGGCTAATAGATCTATACAAGGCTTTGCACCCCCAAAGAAGAATACACATAATTTTCCAGTGCACATGTAATATTGTCCAAAAGTGACCACATGCTAGGTCACAAAACATACATCAATAGA